CCCCAGCCCTTCTTTTAATCTTGATTTCTCTCAGGTCCTGCAAATTCAACTTAGTTGTCTGGATTGGGTCTTACAACTTTAGGATCTTAGAAACTGGTTGGAGATAGAATTATTGGGTAACAGGTCTTAGATTATGGGGCATGATTGGATTGCCGGTTTGTTAGATTATGCTATTTTTAGGAAACAGAAAATTTATTTATTTCTAGGGAATATTGACCTGTTTACAATCCTCATGGGACTAGGAAAAGAGCACAGATGTTCTTATTATGAACTGGTGAATATAGAATTCTTTTATACCTGTCGTCTAGGCCATGTTTTAACATGATGCATAAGTCCAGCATCTATTATAACTCTGAATATATGAAAGCTTTTTAAATCTGGGACCATTATAACTCTGGATATAGGAAAGCATTTTTATCTGCAAGTATATTGACTTTTGTTTGGAAATCACAGCATTCAAAGCCCAGATGGTCCTGTTTGATTTAGTACCTTTCTTATGTAACTGCATTAGCTTGTCCTGTTTTCATAACTTAAAAGTAGACTCTTGATTTAGTAGTCTGTCACTGGTGATCAAGGAATGAAAATGTGCATGTTTCTAGCTTTTCAGGATGATAGAGAAGAGACTCTTCAATAGTGAAAGTCATAGCTTTGTTATTAGATTATCTGTGGGGCGTTGGGACGTTTAATATATTATCTTTGAAATGAGGCATGACACTTCTCCGTGTGAAGTCTGGATCAACATTTTATGAAGCATCTGCTTACATTTTATTTCAGTCCTTTTTTTTTTTCTTCAGTATTTTTTAGTTGTCAATATTTATTTATATGCGCTGCTGAGAATCAAACCCTGTGTCTCACACATGCTGGGTGAGCCCTCTACTGCTGAGCCACAACCCCAGGCCACCATTAATAATCTTAGCTACCTTAAGCACCAAAGCAGGCAGTTTGTAGGAGAACATTGGAAACAAGGCAGACCACAAGTCTGAGTTCTCTCTGGGACCATTCATTGCTATTGGAGGGTAATAATGGCATCTATCTGCCTTTCTTCTATCATTCAGATCTTAAACCACAGCCCACTGACAGAATTCTGGGAAATGTAGTTTCCAGGTCTCTAGCCTCTTATCTCCAGGTGAATCTAGAAGGAAGTAGAGGAAAATGTTATCAAAAGAAGGGGGGAAAAAAAAACAAAGAAAATTTGCAGTCAGCCTAATGATGATGTGTACCAAGATTACATTTAATTTTTTGCACGGTTTTCCCCTAGAATTAACATTAGTTATTCCTTCCTTTCTTTTCTTTTTTTGCTTGATTTACTGAATATCAAACACTGATTCATCCCTAAATTCTTTTTTTTTAAATAATTTTTTTAGTTGTAGTTGAACACAATACCTTCATTTTATTTATTTATTTTTATGTGGTGCTGAGGATCAAACCCAGTGTCTTGCACATGCCAGGTGAGTGCGCTTGAGCCACATCCCCAGCCCTCTATTTCCTTTCTTTCTTTTTCTCTTTCTTGCTTGCTTGCTTGCTTCCTTCTTTCCTTCCTTTCTTTCCTTTTTTTTTTTTTTTTTGGTACTGGGGATTGAACCCAGGGGTGCTCTACCACTAAGCTACAGCCCTAACCCTTTTTTATTTTTTATTCTGAGACACAGTCTCCCTAAGTTGCTTAGGGCATCACTAAGTTGTTGAGGCTAGCCTTGCATTTGTGATCTTCCTGCTTCAATCTTCCAAGTTGCTGGGATTAGCGGTATGTGCTACCGTGCCCAGCTTTGTAGGGTGGCTTTTTTTAAAAAAAATATTTTTTAGTTGTAGATTGGACATAATAACTTTGTTTAGTTATTTATGTGGTGCTGAGGATCGAACCCAAGCCTCTGCCACTGGGTGGCAAAAACTCTGCCACTTAGCAACAACTCCAACACGGCTCCTAGCCCCTTTTTATTTTTTGAGATAGGATCTCAAAACTCACCTGAGTTGCTAAGGCTGATCTTGAACTTTCCTTCCTCCTTTCTCAACCTCTTGTGTTGCTGGGATTACAGGTGTGCGCCACTACACTGGGCTTATTCTCTGAATTTTATGTATCAGTATTTTTGCATGTCATCATAAGTTGTTTGTTTACTTTGATTCTGTCCTTCCTATCAGAGATTTTCTTCAAATATCTGATAATTTTGGCTCTCTGTTTATTTTTTCAAAATAACATAAATGTTTTGGTTATAGGTGGACACAATATATTTTCTTTCTTTATTTTTTTTTTGTAGTTGTAGATAACAGAATACCTTTACTTTATTTATTTGTATGTGGTGCTGAGGATTGAACCCAGTGCCTCATGAATGCTAGGCAAGTGCTCTGCTACTCAGCTACAGCCCCAGCCCAC